AGGATAACTATTTCTAAAAATAGACTTAATATGTAACATATAAAAAATGTAAAAGGGCAATGGTAGTGCTACAGCTTGTTTATTTTTGTGTGATTTTTGCTCTTAGTTTTCTTGTTGTAAAGGGGCAGGAAAAATATTTTTAATAGCAATAGTGTTTTATTTTTTAATTCCTTGAGATAGTGACAGTGCATCCACAGGATTTTCTTTTCTCTTTTTACTTTTTGGTGCTAGGTATTGAACCCAAGGCATCATGCATGCTGAGTGCCTTCTGTAACAATGAGCTATATCTCCAGCCATAGGACTATTTTTCATATTGATACCTGCAGCAATCTGAGTTCACTTACAGAAAAAATATAATCAAACACAATGATTTTTCTTTTCATGTAAACATTTTTCTCTATTCTTATGCCAAAACAGCTGGGAAAGATTTTACTTAATATATTTCCATTAATGAACATTTAGTGTTAAGTACATTTCCATTAAGGATGTCAAAGCATATTACAATAGATTATCTTACAAATATATAGCATTTAATTTATTTTATTATAATTATTTTATGTTATTTTGTTTTCTCCACACTAGCAAATTACTTAGATATATGTACTAATTATATATTGTGATAGTTCAAGAAAAGCCCTTATAATTATCTTCCCTCTAACTAGGATCTTATTGTTTCCTTAATTATAAATAGATAATAATATTTTACCTCATTTCTTAGATGAATTCTGTTTAGTATGGTATGAGGAGCTGACCATAGTCTCCAATACCATTCTCTCTTCTCATACTGATTACAAAGTTTGGGGAGGGTGGTTCAAAAACACCATCAGTTTCTATCCTTCACTAGAAAGGACTCACAGAATTAACTGAGGTTATTGTGGCTACACTTTCTTACAGGAAAAGGATACAGGTTAAAATCAACCATAAGCACATCCAGGAGAAGTGCCAAAACATAGCCTCCAGTGTCTTCTCCCTATGAAATCACAATGCCTTATGCTACCATTTTTTATGTATGGCACTATTTAAAAAGTGTTGCCAACCAGACTCAATGTCCAGAGATTTTATTAGGGATTGAACACATAGATGTGAATGATGAATTCACTGCCTTCATGGTTAATCACAGTCTGTAGGTTCACAGATGACACATTACCCAAAGACTCTACTTGTCTACTTGAAGTCACAGTGTTGGTCTTTCTGGAATGATCAACTAAACTCTACAGGAGTACCTATCTCCCATACTACACCACATTGTCAAGTGTCCAGTGTGTCTCAAGACCTCCCATGACCAGCTTCTACTCTAAGATTGTACAGGTTTGGGTGACTGATATCCTAAATTGTCCTGTTAGACCATCCCATATGACTCAAAACTCCCCGCAAGAAAAACATTAGTGATTACTTTTAGAATGTGAGGCAGAATCCAGAATCCAGACCTCTCTTTGACCAAATTCTTACTACATAAATGGGTTGAAAAACTTTTAAGATTTAAGATTTCTTATATGTCAACAATGTTCTTTTATCTATATATAAGCTCCTTTTCTAACTTTTTCTCATAAAATTAGAATAAAAATAATTTGAAATCTCTTATTCATGGTCAGTTAATCCCAAATATATGGATAGTGGTATTTGTTCTTAATTCAGCTATTTTATCTTATAACATTATTTTCTGGAAAAGAATCATGTGAAATTATTAAAAGAATATCTGTTTAAATACACATTTCAGACAATTTTAGAAATCACTGTCATTGTCATGGGTTACATGTACTTGGTAAATTAATTCTGGTTGTAACTGAAAAGAAGTGAATGTATATTATCCTAAGAGCAGATGCCCAATTTTTAAACCATTTGATAGTTCATTCTAACAGTGCATATTCATGGTGGTCAATTTCCTGTCTCCACTGTCCTGGGGACACAGAACATAGAGCTATATACATACATAACATAAGGGTGCAGACATGTCTCCTACTAACATAAAAGTAACAAGGCATCTAACTTTAATCACATAATTATATAAGTATACAATCAAAACTGAGATACATAATATGACATGAGGTTTAAGACACTAAGATAAAATGTAGCAATGCTGCAATCTAGTCCAGAGAAAATGGAAAGGCTTGATTGAGGAAATGATTTGAACTGGTACTGGTGGGGTGGGAGGGGAAGTGTGTTACTTAGATGAAGAGGTAGGGTCTGAGAGAATTATGATTCCAGGAGAGGAAACACCACGGAGGTCACTGAAAAGAGGGACAAGATGCACCTGTGGTTCTGAAAAGGGAAGGTTCTCCCTGGAGAGCAGACTACAGTGAGATGGCAGCTCTAGGGAAGCTGGAGTTTTGGATGAAGCCTAGAGAAGGGGGGCAGGTGGGCTGTTAGGATGGTTATGATTTTACCACAGGAAGGGGAAGTTTTAAAGTCTTCTGTTTTTGAAATGGATGAATTGAGTACAGTTGAATGTTTAAAAGATAATTCTGGGTAACAAGTGAAGAAAAGAGTAGAGTAGGACAAGGGTGCAGGTAGTCACCAAAGAACATATGGCAGGTCAAGTGAAGGATGTTAGTTTGAACAAGGACAGAAAGAGTAGTGATGAAAAAGAATGGACAAATTCAAGACTTGATGATGGAATTATAAGGAGGTTGAAAAAGAGGAGGGCTTAAGAATGTCCTCAAAGCTTCTGGAAAGTCAGTGATGACTGGAAAATTTGTTTGGGGAAGAAAGGTCAAATGTTATTAGGAAGTTAAAGAAGAGGAGTTGAAGAGATGGGATCCATATTAGTATTGAATGAGGAGCAAGAGATGGAAAAATGGCAAAACTAAAAGCAGAAAGTCTAGTCATCATTGAAATACATGCAAATACATGCAACTATCAAAAAATTAAATGGCATAACATAAAGCAAGATTAATTCTTGTTTCCAAGGGAAAGAAGAGAAGCGAGAAGTAAGAGGCAGGAGTAGGAATAGGTGCTAGAAAGATGGCAGGGCACTGGGAAAGGTGAAGGTCATTGAAAAAAATCAGTAAAAATATAACCAGCAGGACTTTTGAGAACAGAAATATGCAATGGCTAATACTTTTAAATATTTTTTACCTGATTTTGGGTGATACAATCCACTCTATCAGCTTCAGTTCTTCAGTAGGTCACTTTGTGAGGAAATGCTTTGTGTTGTATTTTATAATAGAATAGAAAAAGGCTTACTTTCAAATGGGAAACTCCTTGATATGACCAAAAAATAAATATATGAAAAATAGACCAAAAGAAAGAAGGCAAAACCACTCCTCTACCCCAAGAATTTTCAGAAATCTTGGGTACTGTTTCCATATTTAGCCAATCTAGACTTCCAGGGTAGAAAGATCTCAACAGACATAACATATAACACCTAGCTATGTATTTGTTAAGACTGGCTAATACCAAAGAACAAGACTGTGGCCAACTGACAGGTACCTACTATGAAGATATTAGTATTCTGTTTCAATCAAACTAATCTGCTCAGATTATAACTAGTTATCATTGTGTGTGTGTGTGTGTGTGTGTGTTACTAGGGGTTGAACTCAGCAACTCATACTTGGTTAATAGGCTCACTACCATTTAAGCCACTACATCAGCCCTTTTTGCATTGAGTATTTTTAAAATAGAGTCTTGGGTTATGCCTGGGCCACCCTAGACCACAGTCCTCCTATATGCTTACCTATGTAGATGGATGATAGGCACATACCACCACACCCAGTTATTGGTTCAGATGGAATCTCAAGAACTTTTTCCCAGGCTGGCCTCAAACTGCTATCCTCTATATCTCTGAACAGGTGAAACACCATGTCAAGCCCTAGCTATCATTTTTAAACTCATTAGTCAAGCAAGAATTGCAAATTCAAATGCTTTCTGAGACCAGACTGGCAAGGAATGTGTTGTACTACAGTGCTATTGGCAGAATTTATGGAAACACACAGCATGTATTCCACATATAGTTATCAAAAATTCAACATTTGAATATCTTTAGGCCTAACAAGTCACATAAAAATACTGTTATCATATAAACATTATAGGAATGTGAGTCATCCTTTAATGTATCAAAGTATCCATAATTGGAATAGAAAATCAATATTTTTGGCTAATAGAGAAGCAAAATAGCCACTTAAAAATTTAAGTTCTCCAAACTTTTATAAGAAAATATTTTGAAGATAATGGGCAAAGACTTTGGCAAGTTTTCACTGACATGCATTATTGTGATTAAAGTAGACACAATAAGACCTAGCTCATGTGAGAAGGGAATTGAAAAATTCCCTCAAACATCTTTCAGAAACATACACTCTCCTAACATTGGAAATATGAGTATTGAATAAAACAAAAATCCTCTTCCTCACACAGTTTGTACTTCAGTGACAAAGTGCATGTTAGTAGAAGTACACCTTGTGATAGTTTCTGCAAGCTTTTATTGTCTTGTAAAAGGAAATGTGACACATCTTCAACATAGCCAATTAAATCAACTTTACAAAATCAAATTGACAGTTCTTCTCAGTTCTATAGCATTTGTTATTCCACATTAACCTGAACATTATTAGGCCTTCACAGCGTTCCTTAAAAGGTATCACTAACATAGTTCCATCCCTTTGCTTTCTCTCAGGCTAATAAGAATAATGTTAATAGAGGTAATCTTCATAATGAAAATACACTAAAGCCGAAAAGGCCTTAAGTAATAGGTCACTTTATATTTTTTCAGTTGAGAAGCTGAAGCCTAGTTTATAAATGAGCAAGGACGTACAGTTAGAATACCTAAAACAGATGTTCTTTAATGGTGTTCATTTGGTGAATATGTATTTCATTATAAATATTATATATTATTATGTATAATATATAATAATATATATAATATATAATTATATCTAAATATGTTAAATATTATATATAAATATATAATAAATACTATATATATAATAATGAAAGCAGCATCTAAATGCAATCCAGTTGGTGGGGGAAAAGATGCACTGATTGGAATGATTGCTTTTTCTTCTCAATAGCTGGATGCCAATGGGGAACTTCTCATCCGAAATGCCCAGCTGAAACATGCCGGACGGTACACGTGCACTGCTCAGACCATTGTGGACAATTCTTCAGCTTCAGCTGACCTTGTTGTACGAGGTAAGAGCTGCAACACTTTAACATTAAAAAACCAAAGATAACTGACCTGTGTAAATTTGTATGATCATTCGATAACTGTGTACATCCAAATTCTTATGTATTCACAGTCTTAATCCCATGCCTCCACATGTACCTGAGACTTCTTATCCATGCCTAAGAATATTTTATGCCAGACAGGTAGTAAACAACACTGATTTTGTTTCCCTAAGTACATCTTCTGGAAAGTTATACCACATACTTCCTACTGAATGTGTGTGTTGTAAAAGTTAGTACTTACCAAAGTTCTCATTTCCTGCTGATACTTTTTTTGTTGAGTATAGTACCACTGTTTCCTTTTTTAAAATAGAAAAAAACTATATTTGTGCTGTTTAACCTCAATGGTATATATTTATCACTATCATCTTAGAATAAAAAGTTAATGTATACATATATGTATCACATTTTTATTTGTTGCTCATTTTCAAACTAGTGCTTAGTTCTTATATGTAATGTAATTGAGAGATTGGAATAAGATATAGAAAAAATGCAGTCCTTTGCTATTAGCCTCTGATGTAGTGATGAGGCTGGCTTGGAACATGTCACACATTTTAAAAATCCATTTTTTACATGAAAAAATAAACATTTTCTGGCTTTTTCCTCACTGCCTATGGACAGAAATCCTCTTCTGATGTTCCAAGTGTGAACTCTTCTCTTTTGAACTTTTATAACATTTATTACTTTCTCCATTGTGTTTTAGAGCAATAAGTTACCTCCTCTCCTACCGGAAAGTTCCCATATGCATTTTATTTCTATTTAGTTAATTGTATATCCTTTTACATAGTTTTATGACTCTTTTTTCTTTCAACGTCATGTTAACGTTTCAATTTTTATATTTCTCCTTCTAGACGTATGTATTGACTATTTTAAATGTTCATTTGCTATCAATTTTTGCACATTCAAATACTTAATAAATAAAAATCTATGGTTTGTTTACCTTAATGCCCCTTCTGAATCCAGATAAATAACATTTCTCTCAATGTCTCATATCTCCTGGATTCCCCTCTAGTTCAATGTTAATATAGAGTCCTAAGCAACCTGGGAAGAATGCCATAAAGCTTTCTATTCCAGTGGAATATATTCTCGAATAATGCAGTAAGAAGTCTACTTGAAAATGAAATTAGGCATTTATTCCACAGAGCAATTATTGAAAATTAATAAATAAAACTCCAAGGCTTTATAGTCTTGGGGTATATCCTAAGTTTAAGAAAGTTCATTTAGGTTCAGTATTTCCATTTAGCATATTTTGTTATTTGGAGCATTGACTGTTTTCAAAAGTTATCAGGGAAAGGAACAAGGTCACTATTCTTTCTAGCCAGAGCGCTCCAGCAATAGCGTAAGTATAGATGTAATTAACATTGCTTCCATGTTATAAGGATAAGCATTAATGTTACAATAGAGGTTACATTATACAATGCATGGACATCAGTGTCCTCAAATGATTACCTTGTGGTAAGTTCAATATAGTAATACTATAGAATTCCCTGTAGTGTTCAGAGGGAAGAAGATACTTTATAGATAAAAAGCAAGAGTAGTAATGATATTATCCCGCATACTTAGGTAATTACTAGTCATTACAGTGTGTGTTTTTTGTAGTGTTAAGCCAGTAAAAGATGCTACAGCAGGTATTATGTGGAAATTTAAAAAAAAAACTTTTTTTAAAAGCCTTTTTTAGTCCCAGGAAGGCAATAGAACCTGGAAAGTGTACACAGTAAAAATATGATGCAGCATTTTAAATCCCTGCACTGTAACAGGATACATAAAACTATAAAGTGAGCCGGGTGCCGGAAGCTGATGCCTATAATCCTAGCTACTCAGGGGGCAGAGATCAGGAGGATCGAGGTTCGAGGTCAGTCTCGGTAAATAGTTTGTGAGACTCTGTCTTGAAAAAACCCTTCACAAAGAAGGGCTGATGGAGTGGCTCAAAGTGTTTAGGCCCTGAGTTCAAACCCCAGTACCACACGCACATACACAAAAACTTACTATATGAGTGAATGAAAAATGTTGCTTAACTCTATTAATGTCTTCACAATCAAAATCATTCTTCAAACTTTCTAATAATAGAAACATGCTCATTTTATATCAAGAATTTTGCAATTAAACATATATTTCTGTGAAGCTTATCAACATCAACATGTATATAATGTAGATCTTCTAAAGTGCTTTTCATATTTAAGTCAGAGAATACGCAACTAAACGGTTTTGTTCATTTCTCGTAATAATAGTGAATAATGTATGAGATGCACCCTGCATTAAGTGATCTATTTCTCCAGGACAATAAAATCTTTACAACTGTCCCCCTTTATCTGCAGTTTTGCTTTTCGTGGTTTCAGTTACCCATAGTCAGAGTCAATTATGCTCTGAAAATATTAGACCTGAATTTCCAGAAATAAATAATTCACAAGTTATAAATTGGGTACTCTTTGGAGTAGCATGACAAAATCTCACACTGTCCCACTCTCTCCTGTTTGGGATGTGAATCATTCCTTTGTCCAGCATATCCATGCTATACACCCTAACCACCAGTTTGGCTCTGAGTAGTCACTTTGTTATCAAATCAACTGTTATAGTATCACAGAGCTTGTGTTCAACTAACTCTTATTATATTTAATAATGCCTCCAAAGCACAAAATTTTAGTTCAGTAGTTTGTTATAATCATCCAGTTAGTTATTGTTAATATTTTAATGTGCATAATTTTAAGTTTATAATAAACTTAAAAGCATATATGCATATAAAAAGCAATACTTGCAGACACACACACATATATATATTTATACATGTACATGTATACATTTTGATACTATTTGTAGTTTCAGGCATCTACTGTGTATCCCGTGCTGACAACAAGGGATGCTACTACATATGGTAGCTATTAGACTCGTATAAGAACTTGTCAGATTTGAGATGGAACTAATTCTGGTTCACATTCAGATACCCATGATCTGAACTGAAAATGCTGAAATTTGTGCTAAGAAAGGAAAAGTGAACATTGTAGAGAATGAAGCACTTTCTTCTGAACGCAAATACATTTTTTTATAACAAAATTGGTTTAGAATATAAGCTATTATGTCCTATCATAAGACTGAAATAAAAGTATAAATACTCACACATAATTAAGATTGTAGATTTGATTTAGCTTGTATTACCTTGAAGAAAATTAATATGTAGGAAAATTGTTCCTGCCCTCCAGATTTGTGTGTGTGTGTGCTTAATTGTGTATGAGTGAGTGGGGTGTATATGTAAAGCTTGATGAAGGTAATTTGCATGAGAAAAAAATGTGACTTGACTTTTATGACTTTTGTTATTATTTTAAGTTGACTTTAGAAAGGAGATAGTCAATTAATTAAATCTTAGTGCTTCTATATTAGTCCTTTTTTTCATTGCTATATTAAAACATCTGAGGGTGGATAATATATAAAGAGGTTTATGTGGTCCACAATTTTGGAGGTTCAAGGTCATGGCATTGGCTTAGCTCTGGTGAGGATTTTATAGTAGATGATTTCACAATGGTGAGAGTACACATGACAGGAAGAATTCATATGTCAAGATAGGAAGCCAGGGGGGATTTATGTTTTAGGCTCTTTAATAATAACACATTCTTATAGGAGCAACTAACTCACTTTGTGAGAACGTATCAATCCGTGTTGAGGGCAGCACCTAATTACCTTGCATTATAAGTTCCTACTACCTGCCAACATTGCTATACTGGGAAACCACACTTCCTACACATGAGCCCTTCAGAGGCACCCACAAACCATAGTGACCTCTAAATATAAAACTGAAATTAAATATAGGAAAACATAGTCAAGGAAAATGTAACATTGGATCTGATTTCATGGAACATTTTACTCAGAGAAAATTATTCATTTTACTCCTAACCCCTTTTGTCTGTGCCATGTATGGTAGAATTGAGAAATAAGGAAAACAGTAGTAATTGTTGTCAACTGTAAATAATTCATAAAAATGGCTCTAGTAATTACATATGAGGCATTGCCTTTTCTAAAAGCCATAAATGTTTACATGTAGAAAACTATAGCACTTCAATTTATTTAACCACTAATTCTGTCCACAGATGCTCAAGGAAGAGAAATGTGGAACACATTACCTGATCTTTGAGTTCTGTAAATAATTTCAAATCATGAACTTGTACAGACCCTAAAGTTTTCACTTTTTTCCAGAGCTTTCTATCAGTTTTATCTATGCACTTTGGGAATATGTCTGCTAGGATTTCTACAAGATAAAGTGTTGGGTTTTTTTAGAAAAACTTTTCTTCAAATGGCATTGTCCTAAAAGTCCAATATATAAAAGTCAAGATATGAATCAATAAACTTTCACCCTCACAATGTAAAACAAGATTTTGCTGTCTGATATAGGGAGGCTCAAATTCAGCTCCTTCATGATTCCAATAAACTTAGATATGTCAAATACAAGATTAAGCAAAACATGACATCTCACATACAGAAACAGTTGAAAGAGTTGGAAGAGGAAAACCAAGCAACACAATTCAAGTCCAGAATATTTCTGAATGTAGTGATTGAACCAAGACTAAAAACAGTCACACTGAAGTCATTAAATAAATTAGAGATGAATGGTAAAAACAGTTGAAAACAATGTAATATAGAATGTAGGAGACTGGAGAAATAAAGAGAAAAACCTATAAATGACAAACATAGTCATTGAAAATAAGAACTCAGTAGATGGGTTAAACAATACATTAGTGACAGATTAGGAATAGATTAGATAACTGAAAGTTAGGTGTAAAGAAATCACCATATATTAAATAGAGAACGAAAGATAAATTATGAAAAAGAGATTGAGATACTGAGAGCATGATTGAGTACACTAGTGTATCGAGTCCCAGCTACATTGGAGGCTGATGTAGGAGATTCACTTGAGCACAGAAATTTGAAACCAAGTTTAGTAACATAGATACCAACTCAAAAAGGTTGACTTTGAGGACGGA